CCAGGGACTGTGTTGGAAAACCCACGTTTAAGCTGCAGAAGAATTTCGATTTTTCTGGTTACTACACACTGAGTGAGCTTGGCTAAGTTTTGAAACCCAGAACCTGCCTGGATCCCTCCTCCCACCGCCCTCCAGATTCTCCACCAGAAAAATGTGGGCTTTTGCCTTCTGAAGGATATTGTTGGTAAAAAGACAACTCGAAGCCTCCAACCATAGGGAAAAGAAACAGCTTCCCAAACAGCAACCTATAATTTGGTACTTGTGCCCTGAGCCATGGCAGAAACTGGATGTAAAATACACCAACAAATGCTCAATACCAATAAGCCACCTTTGCACAGTTTATCTCCTCCTGATCGGGCTTTGCCGTGTGTTTGTTTTTTAACATTTTAGAAAGTATTTGCAGCCTGAAGCAGATCTCAGCAAAACAAAACAAGACCAAAAACAGTTCACATTTTCTCATCCAGAATCTTTTATTATGCCAAACTTAAAATAGGCTTAATGAAACATGAATTCTTTCCAACTGCCTTTTCTTGCAGGTGTCAGTTTTTTTAGTTTTTTTTTGTTGTTGTTATTTGTTTGTTTAGTTTTTTTTTTTTTTAAAGAGAATTCATTATAGTTCTCTCTAACCTTTTGGGCCCAGAAATCAATGTGTGGCCATTAAGCTGCTTACAATGGGTAAATTACTTTGGTAAATAATAGAATTTCTTTACTAATATGAGTAAGATGAGTTTTTCAGGATATTTCTTAGGAGAGTCAATACTTTATCTCTAATTCCCGATGTTTAAAGTTTCTTCCAATATTATCCTTTCCTTTAAAAAGCTGAGCAGCAAAATACTTCAACAAATGGAGTCAGAATGGGGCCTGCAGTAACTGCAGGAATCTTGAAACCATCACCAAATGGAGTAAACCAAACCAGACAAAAAAACCCAACACACACACACACAAACACACACACACAGACACACAGACACACACCTGGAAATCCAAACTCAAAGAAAAGTAACCACATATTAATCATTACATTCACACATTCCCTTTTCCAGGACTTATCCATCATGGTAAATAACCATTCCAAGGCTAGTCATCCTTCTACAAGTAACTGGAGACTTGTTGAATATTTTTAAAGAGATGAATCCTACTTACCACAATCCTAGTTTCATAAGAAACCGAAAAAAAAACCTTACGGAATACTCAAGTAGAATAAGCTATCAAGGTTTTTAAGAGTAACTAAATAATCTAAGATCAACTAAATAATCTTTTAAAAAAAAATTCGAATGGAGGTGTTGGATTAGCTACTTAGCAAGGCGAAGATTTCTTTGTAAAACTCAAACACAACACATACTACATATACATGTATGAGGCCACATAACATGGCAGGGGAGTGGCTGCTTCAGGGCCACTGTGGCTGGCCTGAAAACTTTTCTAGGTTTTACTCTCTGTGTGGAAGTCAGACAGTTTGGGGAACATAAGCAAGAACGACTTTGGGCATAAGCAATATCTACTTTGGTAATGTCTGATATTTCATGTGCTGTATGCAGTAAGACCCTCTTGAGACAGGAAGAAGGGTGAGGCTGGCATCTGAGTAAGAGATTTGTCTTCCAAAGTAAAAATCCCAAACGTCCAGCAGTGGCTTCTCAGCCACATGTGTAGGGAAATGGATGGAGACTGCTGGACCCGTTGCGGGGAAAGTTGAGTTTTAAAAGCAAATGTGAACTTTCGTTTCTATGTATCTCACAACGATTCCCAAATGAAAAGATTCGGGGTATGGCGGGCCCTCCTGACTGTCAGCTGGTGGGGAGGGCTGCCTGTGTAGGAGTACTGTTACAGCGCACTAAATCCTGTAACCCTATTACAAAACCTGCCCTCTAGGCAACTTTTCCCAAACTTATTGTTCAGCCATGTAAAAACAGTCATAACCTAAAACTATTACTACTGAAGAAAAGGAGGGAGCGAGGAGCTGGCCTGGGAGGGGTGTTTCCTAGGGTGTTCAGGATAATCACTGCTTTGTGGACAATGAACCAGCTTTTAGGAAGGAAAAAGGAGAAATTAAGTGAAAAAGAAGAAAGAGAAAGAAAGGAAACTTGATTCAGTTCCTTAATTAACTTACCTCAAAGCTCAAATAAACTAAAAAAAAAAAATTGTACTAATAAATACTAATAGTTGGAGGCAGTGAACCCCTTTAATGCTATCGCTTTATGAGAAGCCTTAACTATTAAAATTTCCAGATCCAGACTCAAAGCAAAGACCTAGCAAGCATCTTTTCTTCCGAAGCCCGAGGTGGTGATTGTTACTTTTGAAATTTTTTGCGTGGAAAACGCAAGCGATCAGCACACGTTAAAAAACACAATCCGAAAAAACCAAAAAAACACCTCTCTTCCCCCAGGTTGTTGTCCCCCCGTATGCAAATTGTTAAGTTTTAACAGCATCCCGGTGCAAAGGCCTCACTTGAGGAAAGATTGTTGTGGGGGCGGCAGCAAGCCTAAGAAACTAGCTGAGGAACCCCACAAAAATAGTCCGAGTGGTCGCTGCGGCCTTGGTTAATTTCATCTGGTTTTTACCCTCAAACCCGTTCTTTTGGGGTGGGAAGCCGGGTGTATTTTCAGGGGATCTTTCCGGAGGACTCAGAGAGTCACACTGGTGAGTTTTCCAGCTTCAAAAGGTGTTGGGCAAAACAGTTGCCTTAATGGCTCTCAGATCGCCTGAAAAAAATGTCCAGGTGTCTCACGCCAGGACTGCCCTCTCCCAAGAGCGAGGAGGAAGTAAGCTGGCGGTCCCTTGTCTCTCGGGTTCAGCCTGTGCATCCCCGCACCCAGAGCCAGGCCTCTAGGGACGGAGCCCGCGATGTAGGGGCTCCAGCGCCCGCAGAGTGGAGTGGCCAGAGGTGCGGATCTCAGGTCACACTTCCGAGCTCTGCTGGGGTGCAGGTCCCTCCTTCACGCCCGGGATCGAGGATCCCGAAGGGCAGCCGGAGCCGCCGAGCCTCGGGTCGGGTCCCTCTCCGACCGAGGCAGCGGAGAGTGAGGCACAGAGCCGGGTAACCCCGGAACCGAGCGGAGCCTCTGGCCTGGGAGCTCGGAAACTCTGCCCTGAAACAGCACAGGTCAAGTTGGGGTCGGAGGGGGTCTTCCCTCCGTAGTCCCAGTTCCCTGCTCCGGTCTTTCCTATCCTAGGCCACAGTTCCCGCACACAAACTTTTCCCGACTCATCCAGTCCTTTCGGAACCCTGCCTTCGTCGCCGGCTCGCTCCAGGGGTCTGGCGGACTAACACCCGGGACCCGAGAGAGTGTCCAACGACCCTTTCCAGGACGGGTCCGGAAGGACGGGACTCTATAATAGGTGGGGAGCACACATCCAAGCTCGACTTTGACGGGTTATGGGTACAAGTGTGGAGAGAAACGACAGGAGGACAAACTTGGGAAGCCAGATCAAGCGACACTTCCCTGTCCCTAAGCCAGTCTCCAGAGCGACGAGCAGCACTCGGCCGCGACCCCAGGATGTCGCTCCTCCACCCCAATCCCCAGTTCTCACGGCTCGGAACCCCCAAAGGTACCACTTTTCGCCCGCTAGTCAAGTGGAAACGAGAGAGTTGGGGCGGGGGGTGGGGTACGGCGAGTTCCCCACGCGCTCGGCGTTCAGCCACCCGCACGAAGTAAACTTCTTTAACGTTGGCCGCAGGGCTGGGCGGCGAGGCCCAGGCGACAGAGGCCCAGCCCCGGGACCCGGGTGGCGCGCGGGGAAGCGGGAGAGACCACGCGTGGGCATCCACGTATGGCCTCTGCCCGTGAGATCGCCCCTCGGGGCAGCAGGGTCGTGGCCGCGGCTCCTCGGACCCGCTGGGCGGAGGAGAGAGCCAGCCGGTCAACCCCACTCCGCCCAGTCGAGGACTCGGAACTCCGGAAAGCTCCAGCCGGGATAGGCTGGCTCTCCCGGGACAGGGGGAAGCCTGGCCCGGCAAATTGAAATCGAGGAAGCATAAAATAAAACCAGACGCGCGGAGTACAGAAGGCGAGAGCGACGGTGGGCGCGGGGCCCGCCGCGTGTGCGTGGGTCCGAGTGTGCGTGTGAGTGCGTGTCTGTGTGTCCGCGGCGCGGGCCGGAGCACTCACCATCTCGCCGGGGGAGCGAGGCCACTTCGGGGTCGGATTGGAAATGTTGAGGCTTCGCTTGCTTCCTCCGCGACATGCTGGCTCAAACATCAGCTGGGGCAGAATAAAAAATTACTAAAAAAAAATCTTCTCAAAATTACGGAAATCGAGCGGCGGCGGCGGCGGCTCCCCCCGCCCGCCGGCCCGCCCGCCCCCTCCCCGGCTCCCCGGCCCCGGGCACAGCGCGCATGTGTCCTGCTATAATTATGATTATCAATAATGCATTGCGATTAATCATAGAGGGGCTCTTTGAAAGGCGATTGGCACCGGGCCAGCGCTATTCAAACCCGCTCGCCTTAATCAATTAGTTCGTGATTTGCTGCAGACCCCTGTCTCTCCGCGCGCTGGCCCAATAAGCCGGCCGCGGGGCTGGCTCTGCGCGCCGCGCCGCCCGACTCTTGGTTAACCCTCTTGGCGACCGCCCGGGACTCCGCGGCCGGGCCGCCGGGGGCCTGCCTCCTCGCCACTGCGCGCCCAGCGTCCCGGCCGGCGCCCCCCGCTCGTTCCCCTCCCCCCTCCCCCGCCCTCCATCCCGGGCTGGGCCGACCCGAATTAGCATGCTCGCCCGGGAGCCTAGCGGAGCAGGGCCGCGTGGGGGTGGGGCTGGCGGCGGGGGCTGGGGACCCAGGCTACGGGCGAGCGGCGAACTTCCCAACTCCCGCGCTGCGTGCTGGCCCGCGAGGGGGAGGGAGTCCCGTGGCAGGACGGGGTGGGGGAGGGCGCCCCGTTTCGTGAGTGTTCCTTCATTTCTTTAAGAGCTACCAGAAAGCAGCCCACCCCCACTCTCATAAAAAAAAAAAAAAAGCGAGTGGGGAAGAGCCAGCCCCACGCCGGTCCGCCTCCCGCCCGCTGCCGGGCCTCCCTCCCGCCTGCCCCGCCGCCTGGCTCGGAGATCCTTCGCCCAGAGTTCTCCATTCTCAGGATCCCGGGCTCGCGGGGGTGCGGAGAAGAGGACCCAGGAAAGGTTTGGGGACGTGATGGGTTTGGGGCCTGGGGGGAGGGGCCGTTTTCTCGCCACCCCATCCTCTCCCTGCCTGGGAGCGGCGACCCTCCAGCCTTTTGCTGGCTCCTTAGCTCCCTTTCTCTACCTTGGACATTCCCGGGACAATTAGGGCTGAAGTTTTCGGGAGAAGCGCCCCGAGCCCGTGGGATAAGGAGGCGGCTCGGCTCCGCCCAGGACCCCCTCCTGAACCTCCCCCCAGCCGCCCCGGTTGGCTGCAGGGCGCGTCACTCCGCGGGGAGGCGGCGGCCACCGTGGCGCCGCCAAGCCCCGGGCGGGTGGAGAGCAGGGACCTGCTTGAGCTCCGAGTTCAGCTTCGGCGGGAGGGAGGGGAGGGGGGCCGCTAATCCAGGGCTAAGCAGCGCTCCCCCTGCATGGGTGGTGCTGCTGGAGCCAGACCCTAGGCACCGCCTCTACCCCGGACCCTAGTGCTCCCTGTCCTAGGGGTGGAGGCCGCCGCCTCGCCTGCGACGAGGTGGCTGCCCGGAGTGAGCGTGGAGGGGGAGCCAGTTCTCTGCCCCGCTAGCTACGCCGTGACTCGCCTTCACTTTTCCGACACTTGCCACGCGCGGCGCCCAAACTTTTCTCTCCATCTCTATCTCCCAGAGCTGGGGAGCCAGCCTCTCTTACCCGCTCACGGGACCCAGGGATCCGGGCCCTGTATTCCCTCTTCCGGGTTTAGGCGCCTGCGAACCTGAGGCTCGGTCCTCGGCTTAGTTTAGATCTCCTTCTGCCTTGGGGTTTCCGCTTGCCGAGGTTCCCGAAGTCCTGCACCCGAAGGACTAAACTAACTAAACTTCGGCTGAGTAATGGGGGTGGAGGCGGGGGAGGGGTGCAGATACACAATCCTTGCCCTATCTCGCGATCGGGAGAGGAGAGGGCTCATAAGGACGCCCCAATTCTGGAGCGCCTTTGAGTCTGGATCGTGACACAGTCGGCTCGCGCGAAGTGGACACTACCCTTCGTAGCAGAAGAGCCTTGGAACTCAGGACTCAAATCGCACTCTCCTAAATGGCTTTTTGCCCCCTTCCCCCGGTTTTTTTCTTTTCCCTCTATAATCTTTTGTGTGCTAGTTGACAGTATCTTTTTCTGTCTGCGGACTTTATTCTTTCTTGCTTTAACTTCTCCCTTCTGTCATTGCCCCCGTCCACCCTTTCCTCCCTTTTCTTATTTTGTCGCTGCTCACCCACCCCTCGCGCGTCTCCCTGGTCTCCCACTCTCCCCCGCACCTCGCTCTTCCCTTCTCCCCAGGTTCTGTTCGGTACTGGAGATTTTGATAAAAAGACAAACGAAGCTATCAGTGGCTCTGATGTTGAAGAATGAAGATAATAATGTTTCCATAGGTGGTGTTTCAAATGCCATTATTTCTCACTGAATATTTAAAGAGATCTCTCGGCAAAGATGGATTTGCTCACTCCTGGGGTGCGAGCCGCTTGCTTTCCCCAAACCCCCGGGAATGGGATCAGACCTGAGCACTTTGAAATCCAGCACTCTCCCCTACCCCGCAAATCGGCGCGCTTGAAAACACACCAACGCGCACCCCTTAGGGTGCGCCGAAGCTTCCTGGCGCACCTTTCTTCCTTGAATCTGCCGGTATTTAGAGCCGCCCTCAACAGTCTTCAACATTCTTGGCTTCTTGAAAGTCCTGGCCTCCGGGCAATCCAGTGGCCAGAAACCCAGCGGAGCTGGCGGTCCCACAAGCCCTTCTCGGGGTGTGCTCCGCGGGAAGCTCCAGGGAGATGCTTCACACGTGCTCTCTGTTGGCTCTATGTGTGATTAAAGGTTGGGGGATCTACCCCCACCACCAAACATCACAAACGAACGAAAACGCAAAATCTGCTGCTTCGCGCTGTTTAATTAAAAATGGGCGAACAGAGACGAATTAATTGCGGGTATCTAAACTTTGATAACTTTTTTCGTTCTTTTGAGTCCTCAACGACGTAGAGGCAGGCGCCTGGCTCTGGGAGAGGCATCCCCCGCTAATTTCTTGTTTGTTTTCTTTCCCTTTGGCCGGGAGAGAGATGAGGGGAGGTGGAGGAGGGGGATGGGAGGAAGGGGACGGTTGGAATGGCCGGGAGAGAATTGGTCTTTATTGTTGGTGGCGATACATCAATTACAGGCCATTGTCTCGCGCCCAAGTTCCGCGGTTCGCTGGTGCGGTCGCCGAAGTGTCAGCAAGCTGGCGAGGCACCGCGTGCCGCAGAGCAAAGACATAATTAAATCAATAAAAAATAGACACAGTTTGGGGGGGTTATTTTTTATTTTTGAACGGGTCGGCAAAGCGAAGGACAGTGAGGTGCCACAGCTGGGGTCCCTTCGAACTCCCTGCATACCTCTGGGCCAGAGCGCAACATGGGGTTCAGCCCTCCAAACCATGGATGGGGGCTGCCGCTGGGAAATACGGCGAAGAGGTTGTGGCTTGCAGGTTCCTCGGGGGGCCTGGTATTTAGGGATAGATACCCAATGGGAATGGGGGTAGCCCAAAATGAGGTGACAGCTGCGCAGGGGTCGCGACCTCTCAGACCAAGACGAAACGGACCCTGAGGAGGCACTTAGCAATTGTACAAACTGCCTTTGGGGGGCGGGGGTGTCTATGTTCCCTCCACTGCGTAGCCTCAGTTTCCCGAGTTTGTCCGCGGTGACTTGGCTGGCCCGAGGGCCGTGGCCTAGGGCCGCGGTCGTAGCAAAATTTTCAAGGAAGGTGTTTCGAGGCTTCTTTGTTTGAGCTCCAATTTTAGGAAGGTGTGGTGGCATGGAGGCCTTCCATTCTGAGCCCTGGTTCTTCTACCCGTAAAGTTTTCTAATTATGGCCCAGTCTGACCCCAGTGTGGGATGCAATTGAGGCCTTATGTGGGCCCCTGACTCTCTTTCAGGTTCCTTCTGTGCAGTTTGAGCACCTACTCCGCAAGTGGAAGTGGTCCCTAAGCGCTCTAGCTGTGCCCCAGCTTCCAAAATTTCCACCCCAGGCCCCAGGCCGGGGCTCCGAGAGCAGTAAAGGAGGTTTCGTTTTCCTACTCTGGGCAAAAAAGCGGCAAAAAGGCGGCAGCGGCGCCCCGGGGGCGGGGAGCATGCACATCGATGGTATCAACATTATTGATGGGGAAACGTTCTGGGCAGGAGCTTGGAGATCAGGTTCCCAGTCCCTCCCCTCCCCTCCCGGAGGTGGGTGGGATCAAGTGGATGGTGTGCTCGGGTGTGTGTGTGTGTGTGTGTGTGTGTGTGCTTGGGGATGGGGCGCCTGGATGCACCACCATTAACCACCTGGGGTTTATTTGTGTTTTCTTGCCTGAATGCCTGCCGGGTGGGGGTGGGAGGAACAAGGAAGAAAGACTGAAGTGGCTTCTTTCTGGACTTAGGGCTTGGGGTGGCGGTGATGACATAAAAAAGAAAAGTCGCCTTTCCCCAAACTCAGGACTCTTGTTTTCCTGAGAATATCAGACTCTTCTTAAGCGAACTGCAGTTCAAATCCTAACCTCTCCTCAGAATTTGGCGCAGCAGCTTCGAACCCGAGGCCTTGGAGAGTGAACTGTGAGCTCTGCCCAGCAACTGACTGTGGTGAAGGGCACAGATGGTGAGGGGAGACGTACCGCCGCCCACCAGCAAAGACCTGTGCTGCTGCAGCGCAGAGACAGGGTGTCCAGGTGCTGGGTCTAGAAGGAAATTCAGCCGCGCGCAGCGGAGGCAGGGGTCCACCTGAGCAGGGAATCCCTTACTCCCTGTGCGCGGCAAACTTCATCTTCCTCTTCTTGCAGAGCTATTCCCACACAGGCATTTAAGAACGGAATGGAACGGGGACCGCAAATGCTCCTCCAGGTTGCGCTTAAGTTCTCTGCGCTCCGCATGCAACAGTGCCTCGCTAAGGGGTGTCTGGGTATAAAATTCCTCCCAGAGGAAATGTCCCAAGGCAGAGAAAGTGGAAAAGACTAATCGAATTTATAAAAAGAAAACCTTTGCTTCCTTTTGGTTAAATCCTTCTGCGGTTTTCTGAGCGAGAGAAAAAAAAATTACCACCAAGCAATAGCGTGTGGCTAATTCTTGGAATGAGTAACTAGGATATTTAGAAAGCCCAGCAGGGTGCACAGATTTTCCTGAAGCGCGAGAAGTAGGTCCCGAGGATCCAGCAAAGACTGATTGGTTCTCATTAAATGCCTTCAGTTGAGATTGAGGGTAAGGTAGCTAGTCCACCCCCACCCCACCCCTGCTCTGGTGTGGGGTATGTTTGGGGGTGACCGGGAACCTACCAGGGAATATTAAAAGCGATCCTCTCCGACCTCGGGGGACTCAGATGTGGGCCGAAGCAAACCTGCCATAAGAACACAACAACAAAAAACATTTTTTTCCCCAATCATACAGTCATTTTTTTTCAGCAGCAAAATTTCCCATTTCTAAACAACAGGTTAACTCTTTTCATAGATGTTGGCTTTATTAAAAGGCTGTGTGCTTTGAAACCTTGTCTGGTGAATGGCTTTCTCCCACTTATTTTCATGGGGTCTAAGAACCTTTTGGTTTCATTTTGATAGAAAAACAGAAATGGCCAGGTCTGGTTTCAGGACTGTCAGCAAGGCCTGCTTGTCACTCACATGGGTGGTGACCTTCAAGTCCCACACAAGTCAGCTGAGCCCTGGCTTTCCCAGGGAATGTTTGGAAGGGTTTCTCCCTAAGTTGGGGGGAAAAGTGTCTTGTCTCTGGAAGGAGCTTTACCTCTTCGGGTTCCATCAGCTGGGCAGCCTCTCTCCTTCAAACCTGCACAATTAATTACTGCACTCCAGCAGCATCTCTCTCCAGTCTCAGCAGCAATACGATTTCCCTCAACTTGACATCCAGTTTAATGTGCAGCTGGGGAGCCAAGACACTTACATTTCCCAACTCCAACCCTGCATCTCCGTGTTTTCTCTCAAGGTGGAATTCTGAAATCATCCACGCTCCCAAGGCTGCGTGAGGAAGGAGCTCTCGTCTTTTCTTCC